TAAGTTGAAAAGTCACATTTTATCATTCAAAATTTATTTATTTTGATACAAGATAATAAATATTCGGAACACTCTCAACTATTCGAGAATGAAGGCTCCTACACCTCCACAAATATCACGTTTAAACTCAAAATCTTAAAATAACAACAATAAACTATTGTTTTTTATTAATATAGGGTAAATACAATGTATTATTTGTTCAAAGATAATTCTCAACCATTTGACGTGGAACGTTCACATACTTGACATTCTTGGTGATTGAACCTTTAACCTCAAGGAACAAAAACATTCATTTACTACTAAGGTCGCTCGGTCAATGCACAATCTAAATCGCTTAGTTCATATTCAAAAAATAATAATTAAATAAAAGAATTTAAGGACGAGACATTGATAAAATTACAAACGAATCATTGAATTGATCCAAAAGCTTTATAATTTTCAATTTTTTAAATACATCGCCATCTCAATTATATTCTAACTACTTTACTTACAAAATGAAAACAACACTTAAACAAACTCTCGTTTGTCATTAAATATTCTATCATTTTTCTTACAAAACGAAAATCATCACAAAAGAATTATTTTTCACATTAAAATTAATTGAATATGTAACTTTAAATACTCATATATTTGTCTTTAATGTAAAAACTTCATTTACCTATGTAGTGTGGTTTTTCGTTTTGTAAGGAAGATAGTTCGAATATAGTTGTGGTGGTGGGGTGTTTGAAAAAACTATACATTAAAAAGCTTTTGGGATAAATTAAAAATAAAATCATTGTTTAAAGACCTATTGAATGTTTTAGCAATAGTTTAGAAGTAAAACTAAATATTAACCTTTTTATTAACGGCGTCACATCATCAATTGAGCAGAGATAATGTTAGAGTGACCATTTTGTTATGAATTGATAATATTAGTGACTATTTTATTATAAATCGATAATATTAGTGAATAATTTATTATTTTTAAAACTTTAATAGAAAAATAAAAAATGTCTCAAACATTAGTGATTATTGGTGTAGTTTACTCAATAAAATAAAATATAAAATTAAGAAATAATGTATTCATAATTAGGATTGGTTGAAAAAACACATTCAACCGATCCGAAAGAACTGCTTGCTGTCACCAAGAAGAAGAGGGAAAATTTAGTTTGAGAAGATCAAATAAAAAGGAGAGTGGAAATTTGATGATTATGTGAGTAGTTGATAATCTTGTGTCTCAGTTCTTTGAATAAAGGTAATCTTTTGTTGGAAAGGAAAAACAAAGATAAAAATAGAAAGAATTGGTTTTGATTTAATCAAAATTGTATGAATCGCAGCAGATGATGGTTTGTTTTTGCTCTCAGAATGTGAGAGATTGTCTTCACGATCACGATAAGCTCCTGGATGTCGCTGTCATCCTCATTTACATCCAAGTAATTTCTTTCTTTCTCTCTTGGAATTATAATCAGAAGAAATTTAGGGTTTCTTCGTAGCTTTCGTTAAAAAAAAGGAGTTGCTATTTGATTGATCAGATTGGATGCTCCTTGATCGGATCCCTCGGTGCACTATACAACGGTGTGTTGCTGATGAATTTGGGAATCGCATTGTTCGCTTTGGTTGCTATCTCGAGCAGCAGTCACAGCTTGGGCCGTGCCTACGCCGTTTTGCTCTTCTGCGCCATTGTTCTTGACATTTCTTGGTTCTTCCTCTTTTGCCGCCATATTTGGAACATGTCCAGTCAGAGTAAAGGGACGTTGTTCGTCTTCTCGCTCAGATTAACGCTTGCCATGGAGATCTTGGGGGTCTTGCGTAAGATTCTTTTCGTCCCTGTTGTGGATTCAAATATATAGAGTGAGAGCTTCGTATGTAGATAGTCGTGCTAATACGCGAGAACCTGACTTCGATCTGAGAAATAGTTTTCTGAACCCACCAACTCTACCCAATTCCAGACAGCGCTCTAACAGTGATTCTGATGACGCCTTAGTATCTTATTACTCTCCTCTTTTTGAAGACTGTCGAGCAGTAAAAGTCCATTTCAGGTATAACCCTTATTCCTCCTCTTGTTATTTAAAAGCCAAAAAAAAAAAACTTGATTGTTCTCTATCTTTTTCTTTTCCTTTTTATAGGGTCATAATGGAAGAGTTAGTAGACATTAATCTTCTGGTACTGAAAGTTCGCCTGTTGGGACAATTTCTGGCTAATCATGTAAGCATCTTATTTTCCCTTTCGAGTTTAGGTTGACATTGTCACTTGTTTGAACTATGCTTTACTTCTTTCTTTTAACAGCCTAAACTTCATTCTGCAATTGATTCTATAGCTCTTACGGATAGCTCAAGTCAGTAACATGCCTTTTTTTTTACTTCTATATAGAATTATATTTTGATGTTAATAATACTACCGTGAAGTCATTTCATTGTTTGAAGTTGTCGTGCAATCTTTTTCTGCAAGGAATATTTATGTCTTTTCTTGTCGAGGCAGTGTTCCAAGTATGAAGATTGGCACACTGTTTGTTAAAATCTTTCTGCTTATTCGGTTCGAGTGTTGAATGTTCTTCATATTATCTCTCTTGATTGTCAGTCTGAAAACATAATTACATTTTATTAACCAAAACAATGTAAAAGAAATATTAAAGATTCTGGTGAATTTCCGATAAGAATTCACTTGTTCCTGCCATTTATTTAAAAAATTGCCTTTTGAGTATTAATATTAATCTGACTAGATTTTCTTCCAACTATCATCAGCGTCAAGTTTGTCTGGTAATAGGATGGAGTGTGCTTCACCATTCCTCTAAACAATCAGTTCCTTTTATCCTCTTTGTATTGTTTATTCATGCAGTTCCTAATCTTTGTACTTTCTCTCTGTTCTGAACTTGTACCAGCTTGTTTGAAGAAATCATCTTTCTAAACATTATGGGTTATCATAAATTACATCATACCGTAGCAGAAAGAGTAAATTTTTTGCCTGTTTTCCTTACTGTTATGACAGCTAGTTGAATAAGCTTTCCAGGGTTTTTTCTTTCTTGAGTTCTTGGATGAAAATGTTGATTGAGGGAAAGAGTTCTTCATACCGTAATAGGTAATTATGAGCTAAAGGCCTAAACCCTTATATAACCTAAAGCGTAATGTTTGAAAGCTTAGCACAACGTGACTAGTATAAAGTACCCTAAGATTCTAAAAGCCCAAACCTATATGAAAACTGTGATTATGCTTATAAAATATTACAGGGAGAAAACAAATATCCAAATACTTAACTCTCTCAAAGCAGATGCTTTCCGCTTTGCACCTTCGTAAATGATGTTAAGCCTAAGCTATTTAAACAAAAACTGCATACAATATAAAAAAAAAAAACAGAAGCATAACGACTATTGCTTAACAAATAAGCAAAACAGTAATTATTTTAAAAGTTCAGAAAGAATATAAACGTCTAATTTGTTTACTATCCCATAATGCCTTAATTTGTATATTTCTATCCCAATGGAAACCAAATAAATAAGAATCAAAAGCTTAGAACCTGTCAAATATTTCTTCATTCCTATTGAAGATTGAAAAGGAATTGAATTTTCATGAGTGAACCAAGTTAATTAAATGTTAAAAGAACTAGTTCTTATAAGTTCATACTTTTGCTGCCTTTCTTGTCTTTTTTCTGCATGGATTTGGCAATACAACTTGCAGTATCTACTTCTCTAATGTTTAGTTAATTTTGTTGTCTATTGCTTTGATGATCCTTAACGCTGCCTCTTCATCTACTTGGATCTATAAGCTTTTTAATTTAGTGGTTCATGGCATAGTTCATCAATTGATCTTTCTTTGCTAAGCATAATACATTAATTTGGTTCTTTTTATTTTAAATTGTTGAACATTGCACAACAGTATGTGATGCAGGTTTGCTGTACTAATTATTGTTTACAATATTTTCCTTGCTGCCATTCTACCACTTGTTTGGCGCCTTCTAACCCAAACTCAATAATTGCAGGTGGAGAATGCTGCGAAAGTGCCCGACTCTTTGAATTCAACCACTTCTGTAAAAAATCAGCTTAGTATTACTGATTTTAGTTGTGAAGCTTCTTAAATTTTTCCGGCACGATATTTTGGTGGGAGTTGGAATGGGAATTGTCGACTCCGTCATTCGTTTTTTCCCAAGATGTGGCTCTGCAGCTGTTAGAGTTAGAAAAGACAGATGCTCAGTTTATCTTGTAAGAAATAAACCGAGAAGGGATCATGAGATTTGTTCATTTATAGTTGGCCATTGTTACATAGCCATGGTAACGGCTCTTGAACATGCTTTGCACCGACTTGTTGCTTGGGTTTAACATTGAGATTTTTGATGCCATATGTTGGATTTGTGGGTTTCTTCTTCTTTATTATTTAGGAAACAAAAACATTTGGTCGACTGGTTAAATTATTCATTTTTATTTTCTCATATTATATTAATTATATGTGATTGATTTTAAAATATTATTAATTATATTAATAATATGTTAAAGGACCGAAAGGTAAAACTTAGATAGAAATTTATGAACTTTCCATTTTAATTTTTCTTTGAATTTAATATTGGAAGTTTAAATCATTAAAAATATATTATAAGTTAATAAAATATGCTTCTACTTAAATAAAGAGATATTATATTTTAAAAATAAATACCGAAATTCGAAGATACAATACGTTCCACCTAATAAATAATTTTTATGTTTTTAATTTTTTATGATAATCATATTTCAAAAATTCTTTTATATTCAATAAACCAAATATCCGCAAGTTATTACAACTGTTATAATGTAATGCATATCACAACTTTACATATTTTATTTTAAATTTCTTAATGAATAGATATTTTCAAAAGTTAACATATTTAAATTAATAATCTTTTCAAAAAAAATTTTATCTAAATTGATTTGACCTGCGAAACAAACTTAATAATTTTTTTTATAATAACTAGGTAAAGAAATCCACTCCAGATATTTTAGACAATTACTAATTAATTAAGCAAAAGGGTAATTGGGTAAAAAAAAATTCTGCTTTGGACTCAATCAAACCCCCCCCCCCCCCACATTTCTTCTTGTGCTTGCTTCTTCAACTTTTAGTTTCTTTGCTGTTCTTGCTGTAATTAAAGGTAAGAAGGAAAAAGCTCAAAAACTTCTCTTTTTATGTTTGTGTCTGAAATCTTTTTTTTCTTTTTTTAATTATTGCACTGATTTGCTTTTCCCCCATAATTATTGGAAGAAATTCATGTTTTGGTTTGGAATTTGAAACCTGCTGCTTCCAGAATCGCAGATCCTTCTACTCTGTTGTTTGATTTTGCTGAAAAAAGTAATCTTTGAGAAATTGTTTACTGTTGAAATCTAGTCTTCTTTGGGAAGACTTTGAATTCTGGGATATTTTAGTTTGGGATTCTTTTCTTTTATATGGAAATTTTGTTCAGCAAATTATTAATTTAGATCTGCTAAATCATTCCCAAATAAGTCGATTTTTGATGGCAGATTTGCTTTCCATTTTACCTTACTGTAACTGGTTTTGATGATGCTAATTTGTTGCTCTTGCTTGTGATAGAACCCTAAAGAGATAGTTAAAAGAGGAGAAAGGATTTGTTCTGAGAAAAGGCGTGGAGGATAATGGAGGAAGCAATGGCCGCAACCTACTGGTGCCATCAGTGCTCTCAAGTGGTTACACCGATCATGGAAGTCGAGATTAAATGCTCCTTATGTCATGGAGGTTTTATCGAAGAAATGAGCAGTGGTACAAGAGACGGTGCTCAAGACATGGATTCTGATTTCCAATCCGATCGATCGCTTTCTCTGTGGGCACCCATCTTGTTAGGTATGATGGGTAATCCTCGCCGCAGAAGACTTAGACGTTTCGAGTATGATGAAGAGAATTCTGATGGTGAAGCTCGCCATGGAGGTGATACGGACTTGGACCGTGAACTCGAATCCATCATGAGGAGTAGAAGAAGAAGCTCTGCTACGATTTTGCAGTTGCTTCAAGGTATTAGAGATGGAATGGCATCTGAAACTGAGAATTCTGATAATGATAGGGATAGGAATCGGGACAGGGAACGAGAGCATGTGATTTTGGTCAACCCTTTCAATCAAACTATCGTCCTCCAGGGTGGTCAAAACCAAAACTCCAATCATATAGGGTCTATAGGAGATTATTTCAGTGGTCCTGGCTTAGATTTATTGTTGCAGCATTTGGCGGAAATCGACCCCAACAGATACGGAACTCCTCCAGCACAAAAAGAGGCGATCGAGGCCATGCCAACCGTCAAAATCGAGGAGAATTTGCAATGTTCAGTGTGCTTAGATGATTTCGAGGCTGGTAGTGAAGCGAAGGAAATGCCATGTAAGCATAAGTTCCACAGTGGGTGTATATTGCCATGGCTGGAGCTTCATAGTTCGTGTCCAGTTTGCAGATATCAAATTTCCTCCGATGAATCCAAACTCGACTCCGATAGGCAGAGGAGTAGTAGGAACCGAAGAGAAAGAGAAAGTGAAAGCAATGTTCAGGGACATGGGAGTGTTGGGGAAGAAGAAGGTGAAGGGGACGGGAGAAGTGGGAGAAGGTTCTCATTTCCGTGGCCGTTCAACGGTTTGTTCACATCGGGATCTCCATCCAGCAGAGGGAATTCATCGTCCTCGTCGTCCGGAAATGCTTCTCAAACAGACGAGAACTGAGTTTATATGGTTTGAGCATCATACTTGTTCAATATTCTATTATGCCTTGCGTGATATGTGCAATAGTTGTTTCAATCTTTCAAAAAATGTGTTGTAGATTTTGAGCTTTGGAGCATCTTTTTCACAAAGTTATGAATTCTGAAATATTATGTAATCTTCTTTCTGCTGGCATTTACAGAAAATAATAAATTTTAAAAAAATTATATCAAAATAATAAAGATATACATTTTTATTACCAATAACAGTTTGGGATGGGAAAGGGTAACCTTTGATTGGTACTTTTAAGGAAAATTCTAGAGAGTTCGACGATCAATGAGTATTATTAATTTATTTTTTATCGATTATGTTATTAATTTAATTTATAAAAATTTAAAATTTTAAGGGACTGGAAAGTTTAATTATAAATTTAAAGATAAATTATTTAAAATAAAAAGTAAGTTATATTAGTATCATCTAATTATAGTCTATTTTTATTTTTGCCATCATTTTTGAAATTTTATCAATTAGGTACTCAACTATTTAAATGTATTCAATTAAGTCACTTGTCGTTAATATTTAACGGAGAAGCTGTTGTAGCAGTTAAAATATTCGATATAATTATATATTTGATCACTGCTATTTATATTTTCTATTAATTTGGTGTTAATTTTAATAAATTAAAATAAAATTAACTCTCAAATAAAATGATGCCATGTGTCACTAGTACCAAGTGTAATGACATGTGTCACTATACGATTAAACATTAAATTTTGGGCACTCAAATGATATCCAAGGGAATCAAATATGGGGTTTCGGGATTGAAGAAACAAGGCTCAACCATTGAGCCAAAATAGTTATTTGGTTCAAACTTGACTACATATGTTATTTATGATGTATATTAATGTATAAATTCTTAATATTTTATATATCTCAACTTAAATTCACATATTAAATTTACATTAATATACAACATAAATAACCTATACAGTCAAATTTGAATCAATTAACTACTTTAGCTTAATGGTCGAGCCTTGCTTCTTTAACCCAAGAACCCCATGTTCGATTTCCCCTGGGTATTATTTAAGCACCCAAAGTTTTCTTTCCTCTAAAGAGTGACACATGACACCCTCTGATTGGTGAGAAAAATATATTAAATAAATTATAAATTAAAATAAATTTAATCATCCAATCGGACGGTTACACATGTCATTACGCTTGGCACCAGTGACACATGATACCATTTGATTTGAGGGTTAAATTTATTTCAATATATTAAAATTAGGACCTAATTGATAGAATATATAAGTAACAGTGACCAAATATATAATTATGTCAAATATTTTAACTGCTACATTAGTTTCTACGTTAAATATTAAGGCAGATGGTTTAATTAAATGCATTTAAATAGTCGAGTAACCTGATTATAAAATTTCAAAAATGATGGTCAAAATGAAAAGGAACAATAATTAAGTGGTTTATAATATAATTTATCTTTTATTTTAAATAATTTACCTTTAAAAATTTTAACTAATTTATATTTATATATTAAATAATTTAAAATTAAATTAATAATTCTTATCGTTAATCATTGATACTCGTCGACTGTGAGTGAACTAATTTGTCCGTGGTTATTTGTTGCGCTATGTTGTCCGACATGGATGGTTTTGTTTATTTAGTATATTATTATTCAAAAAATTTGAATTAGTGATTTCAACATTTGATCGGATCTTATAGTAAATGTTTATAATTGAAAAAAATTATATAAAAATTTATTTAATAAATAATTATATCTTCTTTGGTTCAATTTCCTGCCATTGATTCATGACTGTTTCGTTGAATGGGGAACCAGCGGAGTGGAGAAAGCTTTTTGGGGCTTCGGAGGAACAATCCCTAAAGTATTTTCCTCCTCTGGATCGGGCGAACTCGATTTCAGTTAAACCTCCTCATGAGGTTTTTGCTGATGGTATCACAGAATGGAGATATTCTCTGGTTGGACAGTTCGTTGGATTTGCTCCTAACTTTGGTGTGATGCAAAAACTCGTTGATCTCCTTTGGGGAAAACTTCGCCGGTGAAGGTAAGCTTGGTTAGATCCAATCTATTCCTTTTTTTCGTTTGTGAATGCAACCGCTAGAGATTGGATTTTAGAAAGTGAGCCTTGGCATTTCTAGAACAAGCTGATTTTTATTTTAGGAAATGGGAACATAACCTTAAGAAATCAAATTTTAATCTTGCTAGGATGTCGATTTGGGTTCACCTCAATAATGCCCCATTGAAATTGTTTTCCAAGTGTGGTCTCAGTTACATTGCTAGTGCTTTAGGCACTCCTTTGCACATGGATTCTATTACAGCGTGGAGACGGAAGCCTGAATTCGCAAAAATTTGCATAAAATTTCTATAGGTTCAAAGATACCAAGTGAAATTAAAGTCATTTTATGAGATTGCTCCACTGTGTCAATGATGTTCCTTGGTTTTCCCTTTGTTGCTCGAATTGTAACATCTATGGGCACTCTGATAAATATTGCCCAGAGCAGAAGAAGTCCAAATAGGTTACGTTTGGAAGGTAAAGGCTCCGGGTGATAGTGAGACTAGGTCTTCTGGTGGGGATGCTCTTAAAAATAAGGAAATTATGGACTCTGGTGGGAATGTGAATAAGGGAAATGTTGATGTTACTCCCAGGGTTGGTTCCTCTAAAGGCGCTACAAATGTTGCAGTTGAGGTGCCTCCTAGTGGCCCTGTTGGGGAGTTTAGTGCAGGAATTTCTGCAAAGAGGAATAAAGCGAAGGGAAAGGTGAGTTTTGCTAGTTCTAGTAACAAGTTTGTTGTATTGGCCACTGTTGAGGATGATACTGTAGTTCAGGAAGTTCAATCGAAAACTCGTGCTGTTTTTATGGGTGTTGCACAACTATTGAAAGATATGAAAGTGAAAAAGGACGACCACTTGAATAAAGCTAGGAGTAGTGGTGAGATTGTTGGTGGGACAGCTAGAGGTTATTCTCTTAGCAACTTACAACGATTAAATTGCTTTTGGAATATGAGGGGTTTTAACACCCCTCAAAAGCAAGGTAGGGTCTACAGAACCTAAATAAATTGCAGGTGGAAGTAGTCTGCTTGTTGAAACCAGAGTTAAGGAATCTAATTTGTTTAATATTTGCTTATGAGGCTTTGAAAGATTGAAATGTTTGCTCAATTATTGTGCTATTACTAACGGATGAGTCTGAGTCTGAGTCTGTTGGAGAAAGGGGATAGTCTTAACTGCGTGCTTCATTTATAGTTAGGTGATCATTATGAAAGGAAAATTTAGAGATGCTAATTTGTTTGTGTTTGCTACTGTTAGGCTCGATCGATCAACCGAAAATGTGCCAAGAGGGGGTGAATCGGCCAAATAAAAAATTTGGGAGTATGGAGAAAAAGGATAGGAAACTTGCACAACGATTTATAGTAGTTCGACTTTTCAACTAAGTCTACATTCACTATCTTAGCTTCACACTAAGGATTTTTTAACAAATTCACTAATTTGTTATTTCTTTTTCTAGGCTCAAGAGTAACATTTTACAACTCTCTAGTTTTAAATTGCTATATTAGAACCAAACCCCTTTTACAAAAGGATAAAAAGAATGTAAATAAGAAACCTCTCAAGGAATATGTTTACACAATTTAGCTCACTAAAACACTATGTATAAGAGAAAAAGAAAAATAAGATTGAAAGATGTTTTCTCTTGATGTGGATTTCTTGGATAGGTGTTGTAACATTCTCAAGCGTCTTCAATTTTTTTTATATGTTGAAATGAGTTACTCGCTGTTGGAGATGAATTTTGGCCGTTGGAAGATGAAAAAATTGCAATTCTGTATAGGGGTTTCGAAACTTACATTTGAAAATTTTGACCGTTGGGCAAGAGGGTTTCAAAACCTTTAGGGGGTTTCAAAAACCTTATGGCAATTTTTGCTACTGCCTTAGGGGTTTCGAAACCAGACCTAAAATTGCCTGATTTCACCTTTTAAAAACTTGAATTTTTTTTGCAATGTTTGAATGAATTTAATTAAATCCAAAAACATTTTTACCCTTATTTTTTTATATCAAAATATTGGTTCTACAATCTCTTTTTTTTATATGGCAAAACCTTTGAAAATTAGTTTTTGACAAAACCACCCTCTTAATAAAACATTTAATGAAAAAGAGAGATATTTTGGAAAAATTTAAAACTCTCTCTTTTTTCATTTTTGAAATTGAGTTTTTCAAACCTATACTTCTCTCCTTTTTGTTATATAAAAAATAATTCAAACATTCAGGATAAAAAATAACAATGGAGAGTAAAGGTCTGTTTGTTTGGTCCCGTGCTCGTTTCACGTAATTCGTTTTCCGAAAAATGTTTTCCAGGGTTTGGTTGGAGAAAAATTGGTTGGTCAACGTAAAACATTTTCCTACTCAATAGAATTTCCTTTGTATTTTCTAGAAAATGACTTACGGTCTGATTTTCCGTAAGTCATTTTCCGAACTTTTCACTTCAAAGAATAAATACTCAAAATTATTTTATTTTATGAATTTAATATTAATAAAATATTTTAATATCATTTTAATCAAAATATTAATTATTAAAATATTTAAAATATATTTATTAATATTTATAATAATATAATATTATATTTTTATTTTAATAATATATAATAAATTATTAATACAATTTATATTATTTATTAATTTCATAGAAATAATATTATTAAATTATTAATAATGAATAATATTATTTATATATTTAAAATTAATCTAATAATATTTTAAAAAAGATATTTAAAATATACTAATTAATATTTTTAAAATATAATATAACACTATTACTTTAAATATTAATATATTTATCATATTTTTATTTCAATAAAATATACCAATATTAATATTTTTATTAATAGAATTATAAAAATAATATTTAATAATAAATTATTTTAATATTTTAAAATAATAATATTAAGTTTTATAATAAATAATATTATTTATTGTATTTAATATTTGTAATAAATAATTTTTAAAAAACTCATCAACTAGTGGAAAAAAATGTTTAAATAACATCGTAAAACGTTTTCCAGATGTTTTTCAGAAAAATGTAATTCATTTTACGGAAAACATTTTCTGGAAAACGTTTTCCAGAAATATAATTCATTTTCCATAATTCAAATTCTAGTAATTCATTTTCCAGAATTCAATTTCCAGAAAATC